ACTTTAGAAAAGGATCCTTAAATTGAAAAACATAGGAAGGTGATGAAGTTCAATATTATGACACAGACCAAGAGTTCTAGGCATAAGCCTCCCACTGCTAGTATGTCAAGATTCCCTCTGGATAATGGCCTGTGTTAGTGCCAGACATGCTCATTAAGAGAGTTCAGGCCTTCTGACCACACTGGTATCACATATTAAATTAAGGAAGAAAAGTACCACAACTAGAAGAGAAGCCATTTCCTCATCTGTGACATGAATGTCCCCTCCATGCACATAGCTGACAAAAATTAAGATGGCACAGAGGAAACAGTTTATGGGCCAGATCCAGTATTATACTGCATGGCACTGATGGAGGGATTTGGACTAAGGTCATCAGCTGATGGTAGAAATCATGTTATCCACTTTTTATCTATACATATTATTTATACACATTTAAACATTTAAACCTCATATGAACCTTACATTTTCTGTGGTTCTGTGTTTTTAGTTTTTGTTTTGTGTGTGTGTGTCTTCTTTATTTTTCTTTTTGGGGGGTTAGGGGGTGCTGGCAATCAAACCCAAGGTCTCTCCACTAAGTGGTGTTTGAAGTGACCCTTGAGAACAGAATAGGAGTAATCCTTAAGCAATACTCAGTGAAGCCTAATCCCTCCCCAAACAAAAACAATATTATAAATATCATAGTGGGTAGGGCATTTGCCTTGCATGAGGCCAACCCAGGTTTGATTCCTCCGTCCATCTCGAAGAGCCTTGCAAGCAACTGAGAGTATCCCGCCCTCACAGCAGAGCCTGGCAAGCTCTCCGTGGCATATTCGATATGCCAAAAACAGTAACAACAAGTCTCACAATGGAGACGTTACTAGGGCCCGCTCGAACAAATCGATGAGCAATGGGAGGACAGTGCTACAGCGCTAATATGTGTTCAAATATTTAAGAGAATAAGATATTAACTGTTCCATAATTATTATGCATTAAATTTTATATTCGTAGACAACGAAGATAGAAACTGCAGGCAGTGAGTCACATCTATTCAAATGTAAATGTCCGATTCGGGTTGTTAGGCATTCGAATGAATCAATGCTCTTGGCCAAGTTTGTGTTGACAAGGACACTGACGCCTCCAACACCTCTTTTATCGCATGTGCCTCCAGTTTCTATCTTCGTTGTCTACGCACCAACATCTCATTATGATGAAAGAGAAATCGAGAAGTTCTACATGGAGCTAGAGAAGTTCTATAAAGAAGACCACACCTTCTACAAGATCATTGTGGGTGATTTTAATGCCAAGATAGGACCGAGAAGATCAGCTGAAGAACTTCACATCGGGACCCATGGCCTAGAATGGAACGAACAGGGTGAGAGACTGTCTGAGTTCATCATGTCGACCAAGACCATTCATGGTAACTCACAGTTCCAGAAGGCAGAATCTAAACGATGGACATGGGAGTTTCCCGGTGGACGATTCCACGACAAAATAGACCACATCATATTCAATCGACGGTTTTGCCTGACCGATGTCGCTGTTGTCCCAAAATTTCGAACGGGATCGGACCACCGTCTCCTTCATGCAAAATTCTACTTCACAGAGCGGGGAGAAAGGGCTGCAAAGTTCAAAAAGAGAACTCCCAGAATGACCACCAACTGGGAACTCTTTGGTACTATTGCGGCAACATGGGAAGATGCCATTGTTGACAACATTGATGAGGAATACGATCGACTGGTTCAGCACCTCCATGAATGTGCGAGGAACGCCAAGAGAGAGATAGCCACAAAAAATCGCCTATCTTCAACAACTCTTGAGCTAATTCGCCAGCGTGGTTTGGCACATGCCTCAGGCAACCGCAAGCTAACGTCCGAGCTCACAAAGCAGTGCAGAGATGCGATCAAGGAAGACCTCAAAGAGAGAAGAGTAGAAGTACTGGTAGATGCGGCAGAAGCCGGGAAAAGTATTCATAACGCCCGCCTGTCCTTCACCAACTATAAGACCAAGATGACTGCCCTCCGACGTCCTGATGGATCCATCACATCCTCCAGAACAGCAATGGAGAAGATTATCCATGACTTCTACTCAAATCTCTTCGATAGTCATGTCCACTTGCCGACATACCAAATTCCACAGGATGGATATGTCATTCCCAACGTTCTCCCTTCTGAAATCCGACATGCCATTTCGTCGGTAAAGAAACAAACAGCACCCGGCCCAGACAAGGTCAGACCTGAACACCTGAAGAACCTGCCGTCAGTACTCATCAATACACTGGCTCGGCTCTTCACTCGCTACCTGTCTGAATGCAAGGTTCTGTCCCAATGGAAAACCAGCAGGACCGCACTACTGTTCAAGAAGGGAGACATCCATGACATTGGCAACTATCGCCCGATCTGCCTATTGTCTGTCATCTACAAGTTGTTCACTCGAGTCATCCTAAATAGGATTGGCAGAACACTAGATGAAGGACAACCATGCGAGCAAGCCGGGTTCCGCAAAGGATTCAGCACCATCGACCATATCCACACGATAACCAAGCTCATTTAGGTTTCTTGGGAGTCCAAGATGCCGCTCTGTTTAACGTTCATTGATTTAAAGAAGGCCTTTGATTCTGTTGAGACGGAAGTGGTCATTGAAGCCCTAGCCAATCAGGGCATTCAAGCCCAATACATCAGGATCCTCCGTGAGCTGTATTGCGGATTCACTACCAGGATCTCACCATTCTACAAAGAAGTGATCGTTGATGTCAAGAGAGGGGTGCGGCAGGGTGATACCATTTCACCGAAACTCTTCAGTGCCACCCTCGAGAACATCATGCGACGACTGGAATGGGAAGGAATGGGAGTGAAGATAGATGGTCGGCAACTACACCACCTCCACTTTGCTGATGACATTGTTTTAATAACACCAAACATCAGCCAAGTGGCACAAATGCTGGCCAACTTTGACCGTGAGTGTGGAAAGGTAGGACTACAGCTGAATCTTACGAAGACAATGTTTATGAGAAACAGCCTTGTTCCTGACGCCCCATTCACTCTCAATGGAACGACCATCTCCGAATGCAACAGCTATGTGTACCTAGGTCGAGAGGTCAACATGACAAATGACCTGGCACCCGAGATGCGCAGGAGGAAGAGAGCGGCTTGGAATGCCTTCAAGAACGTCAAAGAAATAGCTAAGAGGACGAAGAACCTCCGGCTCCGGGCACATCTCTTTGATTCCACTGTTCTTCCTGCATTAACATATGCCTCAGAGACCTGAGCCCTACGCAAACAAGATGAGAACGCTATTCAGGTCTCCCAAAGAAGAATAGAAAGAGCTATGCTTGGAATATCACGTTTCACTCAAATGAGAGAAAGAATCCGGAGTTCCGACATCCGTCGACGATCAAGAATCAGGGATGCTGTCTCATTTGCCAAGGTGTCGAAAATCAGATGGGCTGGTAACGTAATGAGATTTAAAGACGACCGCTGGACTAGAGCTGTTACCGACTGGATTCCACGGGATGTCAAAAGACCACGTGGCCGCCCACCTTCCAGATGGTCAGACTTCTTCATCAAGATCATGAACGATCGATTTGAGGCCCTTCATGTTCCCGGGGCGAACAGATGCCATTGGGCTACACTAGCACGCGACAGGGACAAATGGAGATGTTACTGGCGCCCGCTCGAGCAAATCGACGACTAACGGGAAGTTAAGTGGTTAAGTGAAGTGATTAAATTTTATATTCAGTTTTTCTTTTGTGTGTGATCAATGAGCACAAGAACCAAGAGTAATCTCTGAAAATAGCAAGGTCTGACCCCGAAAAACAAGCAAACAAAACTCTCTTAGTCACATCTTCATTTAGTAGCAGCTCTCTTGGTTTTTTTAATTATCAGTCACTGTCATTGTCCTCCCGTCGTTCATCGATTTGCTCCAGCGGGCCCAGTAACGTCTCCATCATGAGACTTGTTGTTACTGTGTTTGGGATATCGAATACGTCACGGGTAGCTTGCCAGGCTCTGCCGTGCAGGCGAGATACTCTCAGTAGCTTGCCAGGCTCTCCGAGAGGGGCAGAGGAATCGAACTCGGGTCGGCCATGTTGGCCGCTTATAAGACAAACGCCCTACCGCTGTGCTATTAATTTTTTTATTAGTGGAACACCATGAGTAGAGTTGTAGACTTACAAACTTTTGTGCTTGGGTTTCAGTTATACAATGATCGAGTACCCATCCCTCCACCAGTGCCCATTCTCCACCACCAATTATCCCAGTAGCTCTCCCATCCCCACCCCACTCTGTGGCAGGGTATTCCCTTTTGCTCACTCCTTCCTTTAGGGTGTTGTAGTTTGCAATAGAGGTATTAAATGCCCATTGTGTTCGGTTTACAGTCTACATTCAGCACACATCTCGCATCCGAGTGAGTCCTCCAAGTGTACTTTACTTGGTGTTCCTTCTCTCTGAGCTGCCTTTTCCCCCAGCATGTGCTGCCGGCTTCCAAATCATGGAGCAGACCTCCTGGTACCTAACTCAACTATTCTTGGTGTTCGACTTCCATTCTGTTACTTCATGTTCCCCAGATGAGCAGCTCTCTTCTTTCCATCTAATGTTGACAAGAAGGGAAGCCAGTTCCTTCATCTGAACTCCACAAATCAACAAAGCATCAGTTTTTCATATTAACAAAAAAGTACTGTAGTTGGAAACATAGATGTCAGAATAGAAAATAGAGGAAAAATATGAGATTCCTCTACTATGTATTATTTATTCGCAGGAAAAACTAGATGACCAATTTTCTACGCAGACCCCAAATCCCAGATGAACAGCTGAGGATCCACACTTTGGTCTCAGTTTCTCTGCAGAAATTCAAGCTGGGTAGAGTCAATTTCCTTTTATTCTTCAAAGTAATTCAGTTCACAAACTTTCTTATCCAAAAGTATAAAAATCCCATAACCAATTTTCATTAACAAATATAATTACTTCCCCTTGTAAAGTCAAGTCTTCATCCAGAGCAGGAGAGAAAGACTCCAGATCTCCCAGGACTCACTCAGAGGTCTCTGACATAGCGTCTGCAGTCCCAGAAAGAATCACCAAAAATAGGAGAGACACTGCTGTGGACATAACTTCAGGGTTTCAGGGCAATAGTGGAGATGCAGGTCCTGAGGGAGCACCATTCACACCAAAGTCTGAGCTCACAGGCTCCTTCTCAAAAGATGGAAAACTGTTAAGAGGTACAGGGAGCTCAGGCCCATGCACCATGGAGCAGATGGACAGGGACACATCTCCATTACAAATCATAAAGTATGGAAAGAGGGTCCCAGAGAAGGAAGTCTGAGAGAAGGAGAAAATGTGGGAGCCATCAGTCATATTATAGAAGGAGACATCCCCTCCCTCAGGGTCTAGGAATACACCCAGCCTGTGGGGAACCTGATAAAGGAACAGAAGAGTGTTAGAAGTATTAAAAGCATGAAATCCATCTTCAGCATTTCCCACAACCCAGAACCCCTTTTGTGGAGACTCTTTGTACCAGCCTGTCCTTTTTGCGTCTTCTCTACAGACCCCCAGGCACCAAGTGCTGTTGTTTCCATTTCTGATTTCCACCTCCCAGCAACAGCGCCCTGATGTGATGCCTTCACAGCCTAAGATGCTAAATCTGCCTTCTGATACTGAAGCAGTGGCAGCATCCTTCAAGGTCAAACTTGTATTCTTGTGAGAGACAACAATGTTGGGATGGGCAGATCCTGGATCCAGAGTGACAGGCCCTGCAGAGAGAAGCACCAGTCATGTTCTGAGCCTCCCCTGACTCAGAACAGGGGCAGACTGCCACCTCATCCCAGAAACAGAGCTACAAGTTATGGAGAAATGGGCCTCCTGAAATGAGGAGATTGTGACATCAGTCCTCTAAGCAAGAAAAGGAGCCAAAAGACTGATTTGGGATTAGATGTTAAATATGTCACAAGGCTCTTAAGGATCAATGTGAACTCCATGAAACTGCTTTAGCCTCCATATAAGTCACACCTACCACCCTCCACCCACCACCACTCATCTATGTCACCACAGAGAGATGAAAGCAAGACCAGAATTGTGTGGGAAGCAGCAGTAGGACTTCCCAGAATGAACAAGTCACTCACAGGTCTGGAACTTGGACTTGCGCCAATCTGTAAGAAACATACACACATATACACATTCATGTCAGAGATTTGTAGACACTATACATTAAGTACATATCTGAAACATCATAATGAAGTAATAATAGGGACATTTTGAAAACATTCAATAGATTCTTTTATATAAATTTTGACACATTTATGTGCACACATGCACATACACGCACACACACACACACACACACACACACAAACTCATCATGCACCAAGGTCTTCATTAAGGATAAGCCCAAAAAGTTCAATGGCCAGGAATTGAGAGACTGTATAAATATCTCTCAGTATGAGAAACAGAAATTAATTACCCATATATGATTATCCATCTTTGCTTATCAAGCACATAGACATGCTTATCCTGAAAAGTGATTTTCTTGGAAAAAATTAAGAGATCAATATTTTCTAGGCCTCACTTTACTTATGAAGAACTTAGATTGTTCTGGATCTCTAAGTTTTCTCTAAACAATAGAAGAAGAAAATTACAACTAGCCTGAGCTTCACTTAATCCATAAGTGAAGAAAACTCAGAATACAGCAAGAAATTTATCTTATCCAGTTAAGAGGCAACTGAGACAGTTTCAAGGGAAGAAGAAAGATTCAAAGCAGGGAGACACATGCATTCAATGAGAGGAATGACATTAATTATTTGTCTACCCCTTTAGTGAGTTGGTAGGGGGGGAACCTCCCAAAGAGACAAAAGAGAAAAAAATCAAACAAAACTGGATCTAGTCACTTTATTTCCCCCAAGTCTTTCCCAGATCTAGAAAGCTTCCAGGAGAAAAAGTGTCATAGTATAACCCCAAAGAAACCCATGACCTAACCCCAAGGTATGTGAAAAATGTTAATTCCATAAAAAAATAAATTTTACAGCTGTAACTAAAATTATGGGTCCAGAGAGATTAAAGGCACATGCCTCACAAGTGGCACACACTGGCTCACTCTCTAACATCAAATGGTCTCTCAAGCATAACCGCCGAAATCAACTCCCCACACCCCCGAGCAGAATCCAAGTGGCCTGGGTAATCTCACAACTGCAGAGCCCAAGAAGCTGTGCACGCTTGGGCAATAAATTGACCTGCTGCTCCCCTTCAGCTGAAAATGGCTGGGAGGAAATCCCCAGCTTCTGTGCACTGCTTGGGAGTCTCAGAAAAAGAAAGGGGAAAAACAAGATTATAAACATCGAGATGGAGACATCATCCTGAGTAATACAGAATTAATCACAAGAATCTTTAAAAGCAAAACCATGTCAAGAATTTGGTCATACAACTAGATGTGACCCCCAGAAGTAGGGTCAGATATGTCTGTGTTGCTGGTCTGCAGATGAAAATGGGCCACAACCAAACATGTCCTCTAGAAAAAGGAAAGGACAACTTCCTCCAGGACAAAAAGCACTTAGGGACAGTGGTGAAGGGATATTCACACTTTAGTGGTGGAAATAGTCAGTATTACTGTATGCCTTCTAAAGCATAAATATTAATCCTACTGTAAACCATGATTAAAAAATTATTTTAAAATAAGGAGCCAAAGTGATAGCACAGGAGGTAAATCACTTGCCTCGTATATGGTCAATCCTAATTCAATCCCCAGCACCCACATGATCATTCAAACTCTGCTAGGAATGATCTGGGAGCAGAAAATCAGGAGTAAGCACTGAGGACTGCTGTGTGTGGTCCTAAAAAGGGGAAAAAAGGAGGGGTAGAGAGACAATAGCCTCCATAAACAGTACACAGCCCTAGCCACACTTTCCTGGAATATGACTTGCACATCAAGAAAGTAAAAAATATGCTTTGTTTTAAGCCATTAATTTTATTAGAATTCATAATGGCAGCAAAGAAAAAGACTATTATACCCACATATGCTATCTCCAACATGAGAAAAAAGTTATATGCATGGGACATGTCTGGTTAGAGACAAATGATTGAAACCAAGGATTTCACATGGATATTTAGTAGGGAGAATTTTAAAAAGTCCCCAAATAGCTATATGGAATCCACCTCTACTCCCCAAAAACCAACCCAAGGATCTTAACAAGCAGATCAAGCAATCTTCCAAGTGAGGACCTAAAAGGACTAAAGGAGCAGAGGTATCTCTGTCCCAACTGACCCAGTGACACATAATCTCCTCTGGCCTTCATAATCCTCCTGGAAAGAGTGAAAGATTACTGACCATTGCAAAGATTGCATATGTTGCAGAATCTTGATATGTCTTCTGTGGGGGAGTTGCTGTCTCCCAAGAACAAGAATAAAGGAAATAACATTTTCGGCACAGTTGGGGTGTAAATTTGTGACACATCCACTGAGACATGTTCATTCAGAGAAATTTCTGTCTCTTTTGCTTAGATGGTTGTGAAAACAGTTGGATTAATCCATATATAAGTCTTTAATAAATGTAAAATATGCTTTTAGAAACAATGAACTTACTGCAGAGATATTACAAACTTCCTACAGAAGTCCATTGCATTTGTGTATGAAAACTATGGGAGGAGAAAAGAAATAAAAAAAAAACAAGGTATTTTCCAAGGGGGCTGCTCACACTAACATGACCTTCAGTAGAGGAGAGTCAGAGAAGGCAGATCTGTGCCCCAGAGACAGTCCCTGCAACCCTTAGATGGAGGCTACCAAACTGACAGTGACTCCTTCCTGCCATGGGGTCCTTGGATAGCGAAGGGACAGAAGTGAGGAGTCATAGGACACTTAGAGCACCTACCTGCATAAAGCTGGGCCTTCCTCCAGGCTAAAAAGGAACACACAGGTGAGACCTCAGTCAACAGCCTGCCCAGCCCAGGCTACTGTCCAGCACACCACCACACCCTCTCTGAGTTACAGGATCCCCAATGTCAGGGTGACAGAAGGGGGGGCGTTCTGGAGTTGGGGAGCTCCTGCATGTGCAGACACTGGTTAAGAAGCCTGCATGACAGGCTGGTCCCACCACTGTCCTGTTGTGACTAGCTGCCTTAGCTTCAAATTGTAATACATGCTTCTGCTACCTTTGTTCAAATTTTCCACTAAGGCTTTGTAGATTATACTATGTGTTCAAATACTTAAAAGAATAAGACATTAACTGTTCCATAAATTGTTATGCATTTAATTTTATATTCAGCTTTTCTCTTGTAAAGATACTAGAGAAATAAAAGGGGAAATGATTAAGGCAAGAGATGAGGTCAGTTCTGGGGCAGTGAACTTTCTCAGGCAACAGCAATCTGCAGCATTGGAGCCACCATACCACCATGTTCCCACGCCTGCTAAGCCTAGTCCCTGGCTATTTGAACTCACTAATTGTTGGTCTCCCATCACTACTTAGCTGTCTTCCATCACTATTTCACCATCACATTAGAGGTCGCAGGGGACAGGCTCTCCCTGGGTGCTGTTATGAGGGAGGGGCAGGAGTCACACTCCTAAACTCATAATATCACTATTTAGGTATCTGGCTCCTGTAATGACCACATGTGTGTCCCCAGCACACACAGGATGAGGAACACCTGGGCACAGATGGGACCTGGAGCATCACTCACCAGACAAGTACTCAGCTTTCCTCTTTTCTGAAAGGCAACAGGAACAGGTGAGCTCAGAACCACAAGTCCTCCAAGGAAGAGGACTCAGGGAGTTGATGCAAAACAAAACTTACCTAAATCTGCCTGCAATTCATCTGAAAGAAAACAAAAAATAAAAGTATGTACTTCCTTTCCCGAGGAACAGAAAACTGTGGGCCTGCAAAATCCACCAAAACAAAAAGAAAATCTATATCATGAAATTCCACTTCAAACCCATCAGGGTCCATGAGTAACTCCACCCTCTGGGGACTCCTGGGCCACTTGCTCTGCAATTCTGGAGCTGGAGCGCTGGACTCTGACCCACAGTCCTTGGGTCACTCTGGGCCTGGGCCTGTCCTGACTTACCTATGGCCTTCAGTGCAGCCTGCTTAGCCTGTTCATCCTTCTCCCGATCCTGGCGCAGCTTCTCTCGTTGCTGCCTCTCCTGCGCCTTTATGGAACGTTCTCTCCAGGTGTAATAGGCAGCACCAAGGACCAGGAACGTCAGCAAGGTCACACACACACCACATAGGCCAGCTTCCACGGAGAGGCCTTGGGGAAGAAGGGCTCTGTGCCCCCCAAAGACCCCCATGAAGGCACGAACAGGACAGCCCAACTCCCCCAGGAATGCCCCCCTCCTCCCTCCAGCTCCCACACCCACACGGGAGAGGGCAGCAGAGCCCACCTGGGATGAATATGGCCATGGCATTCTCCCTGTCCAGGATGGGGTTGAGGATGGAGCAGGTCACATTCCCCACGGCGCTGTCTCTCACCACCAGCGCTGCCTCCACGCTGAATAGCCCCTCACCATCCTGGGCCTGGGTCTCTGAGAAGGCCAGAAACTTCCCCCCGCTGGAGTCTCTCCACTGCACCTGGGGCTTGGGAAACCAGCCCGCCGCCCTGCACACCACTCGGACTCCGTCCTCTTCAGGCCCTGTGATGTGCACTTGAGGGGAAGAGCCCACACCTGCGGGGGAGAGGAAGGGTCCAGGAGGCTGGATCTGACCAAGCACACAAGCCCTGGAACCAATCACATTGCATCTGCGCTGTGTGGAAGGATAAATTTTGGGGGCTGGAGCAATAGCACAGCAGATAGGGTGTTTGCCTTGCATCCGGCTGACCCAGGTTTGATTCCTCAAATCCTTTATGGTCCCCCAAGCACCACCAGGAGTAGTTCCTGAGTGCAGAGCCAGGAGTAACCTCTGTGCACCACCGGGTGTGACCCAAAAAACCAAAAAAAAATTATCAATTCTTAAACAGTTGTGGCATTTTCTACATTAAAATAAAATTTTTAAAGATTTTCTTGTCTCTAAGGTTCCTGTCACCTCCAGCACTCAAAGATTCTAGAATGTCGATCGAGTACCTACCTGCCACTTTCAGCTCCAAACCAGCCTCCTCATAGAAGTTTCCCTTTCTGAAGAAGCAGGTGTACTGTCCATTGTCTGCAGCCTGGACCTTGTGGATGCGCACAGCAGCCTCCCCCTGGGAAAGGAGGTCCGTCTCCAGGGAGGTCCGTCCCCTGTACTGGGCCAGCTGCTCCTCTGTCTCCTCCCAATGGTTTTGGTAGATGAACACAGCTTCGGAGAACTTGGAGCGGAACCACCTCAGCTCCATGTTTTCAACATTCATGGCCGGGGACACACGACAGGGCAGTGTGATGTCACCTCCCACCACAGCAATAATAGGTTCTGACGGTCCAATCACCAGGAACTCCTCTGTGGATACAGACACGTGAGTAAAAGGTTGGGGAGCTGCATGCCCAGGGCAGGAAACACCCCTGGAAAGGAGCCAGGAGAGCTGGAGCAGGTCCTGATGAGAATACCCCAGGATGGAGGACTGGGTCCTGGGGGAGACACAATAGCACAGTGCAGACTCACCTACGGACCCCACAGTGGGCAGCTGCAGGAGAAGCAGGATGGCCAGCGGGCAGAGCATGGAACAGGGTGAGCAATGCTCCATTTCCTTGAGGCTGGGAAGAGACAAATGGAGGAGGCAGCGAGGACCAACGGGCAAGGCAGAGCCCCCCAGAGCTCTAGATCTCACGAGTCTCAGGGCTGGGACACCCCCACTGGAGAGCATCTTCTCCTGCACTCCACTGGAGCTGCCAGGTTACAACCAGCTGACACATGAGTCCTTTTCCTCTTGCCTTTAAGGGGGATTTTTGCCTCCAGAAAAGCCCCCTGAGAGACAGGACAACAGAGAAGTTTAAATGGATCCTGGTCAAAGAAAACACCCACAGACAACCTTCTGTGTGGAATCTGGGGAGCAGACAAGAGTCTCAGGAAGGACAGGTTCTGGGGGCTGATGGATCCCCCACTCTCTTGTCCACCTGAGTCAGGTTTCCTGACTTTCTTTGCCACGTTTACAAAGTAACAGCATCTCCCTCCCAAAGTGAACTTAGAGTGTCTTCAAACCCAACATACCTGCTTCAAAGTCTCCTCAGTAGCGTTTCCAAACCCCGATACTTGAGAAGAGTCAAGGAACCCCCAAATCTGCCTGTAGACTTTCCACCTGCAGTCAGCTGCTCAGAGCCCCAAACCTGCTTCTGGCTCCAAAACCGAGTGTGCAGGGGCCCTCATGTCTGAGAGGCAGGTGGCTTCCAGGAGGATGAAGCAGAATCAGGTACAGGTTTCTGGGTGTTTGTTGAGCCCAGCCCGGGCACCCCCTCAAATTAATTGTTCCCTGACACTGTTCTCCGGGTTCCTTCCACCATCTGAAAGTGAAAGCCACAAAATGCTCTCCCAGGGGACTCTGCCCTGCCCTGTGGACAGGGCGCCTAGTTATCAGGGAGAAAAGAGCAGGACCAATGCATTGAGAGGGTTGGTCAGGTACTTTGAAACAACACTGTCAGGTCAGAGACACACACCCAGATGAATAAGCACTATGCTCAGTCCGGAGGATGGATTGTGTGGCCCAGGCAAAGCCAGTTCTGCCTCTGCAGAGCTGTCGTGCTGCAGCTCCCAACCAAAGCTGACCCTGTCAGTGCCCTCTGCACAGGGCCTGTCTCACCAAAGGACTCAGGAGTTCCCCACAATCAGGCAATAAGTAAGGGTTTAACACAGCATCAGGAGCTTCCAGGCCCTGGCCCTGCTGTGCTGAATCAAAAGTTCCCAAGAGCATCTTAATGTTTTAACAACACACACGGTCTGAGGACAGGCACCCAGACACTGTCCTTCCAGGCTCTGACACCAGAAAATGTCCAAGTCTGTGGTCTCAAGGAAAACCATAAAGACCATGAGTTCCCTCCACCCAGTTCCTTACTTCCTGCAACACCCCACCCCGCTTTCATTAAGGAGACCTGTGTTCACCCATTTACCCTTTCAAGAAATGTGAGGGCCATTCCATGTACTTGACCCCATCCCACCTCCCTGTGTACTTTTAATCCACCAAGCAGTTCAAGATTGTTTTCAAGTTTTTTTTCCAAGTTAACACCAAGGTCCCCGTCACCAATGAGGGTGGTGACCTGGCCAATCAGTGGCCTCTCAGGGGTGTCCCCACCCACACCAGCCCCTCCTCATCAGTTTCATTCTCCTCCCAAGCCCCTGTCTCCTCAACTCAGTTTAGATCTACTCACTGCCTCGTTTCCTCAAGGGATTCTTCTGCTCGAACCCTTCTGGGCTCCTCTCCGACTGCTCCCCATTGCTGTCCCAATGCTGTCTCTTCTGGCTCAGGTCACTTCTCCAATTCAGGGAGTTTCCCAGCCTCGGACCTTCTCACAAGCCCCTGGGGGCTGCTGCTGACTCCCCACTGCTTGACTCCCCACTGCTCTGTCTCAGAAAGTACCCTCCTGAGAGGGACCTCTGCTCACATTCTGCCCCATGCCCACATGGTTGTCCATTTGGGGGCTTTTCATTCACCACAGCCCTGAGGTGTGTTCATGTGAGGAGCGTCTGTGAGATCCACTGGAGGCGGCACTGTGAGCACCTGCTAATCACCCCACGAAACCTCCCTGAGATCTGTTCAGAGGCTTTGCTTCCACTGCACATTGTTGTTCAGTTTTGCCCACACTCAGGAAACAATAGGGCTGGACCAATAGCACAGTGGTAGGGCGTTTGCCTTGCACGCAGCCAGCCCGGCCGAGCCGGGTTCGATTCCTCCACCCCTCTCGGAGAGCCCGGCAAGCTACCAAGAGTATGGCACCTGCTTGCTAACACTTGGCAAGCTACCTGTGATGTATTCAATATGCCAAACATCAATATGCCAAACACAGTAACAACAAGGGTCAAAATGGAGACTTTACTGGGCCCGCTCAAGCAAAATCGATGAACAACAGGAGGACAGTGTTTGTTTGTTTTTGTTTCAGGAAACAATATTGTATACTGTGGGGCATGCTGTTAACTGACCTAAATAAGCCAGCCCTGAAAGACAGTATAGTGCACTATCTTCTCTGTTTTCCTCTCCCCCCTCCCTCACCCCCAATCATCAGCAGGTCATGAGTTACAGTATCAAAGAACTGGAAATAGTCTGTTCATCCACATCCCTTTGCTCCGTCAAGCCTGACCACTGCTCAGTCTTCACAGGTATATGACTTGGTAAGTAGACACTAGTGGGACCATCACCACAGTCTGCTGGATTTCTGTCATGATTATACTCGTTTTATGAGGGAATCACTTTGGTTTCAGAGCCCAGCACCTCTCTCTCAGCCTGTGTTTACTCTCACCTGCTTGAACTCACCTGTTGTATTTGTCTTTAAAGAGCGAAGACTGGACCTCTGCTTGCTGCTTCCACCATCCCAGGTGAGTCTTGCCTCTGACTCACCTCACTGGGCCTATTCTGGAATGGGAGGCAGAGCCCTGATGGAGACTTCTTCTGTCCTTTGTTTGGCACATCCCCTCGCCCATAAAGAGGCCGCTGCTCAGGGCCCTCAGGACTGGGCCAATCTACCAATCTACCATTCAAAGAGAGGGGTCTGGGGAAAAGAGCTAGTCCCTATGCTGCCACCTCCACAACTGAGAAATGAGTGCACGAGCATGGCAGGGGTCCTGTCAAGCAGTTCCAACTTTATTAAGCAACCAGCATATCTTATATAGACTTGGGCATACAGGGAAGAAATGTGGACAGTCATGTACTCACAGTGGTCAGAACAGACGTGTTTCGTCACAGTTCTATAGATAGGGTTACATTTTTTCTGAGTAATCACAATAACTAAACTGTCACCCACACACCTGCCGGATACATCCTGTCCCATGGTGGCATTCACCCATGACCGTAAATGTGCATTGCAACGGGCTTCCTGAGTGGTCTAGGAACATCTTCCTGGGATCGAGCCAAAGGATTAGCGCTGCACTTCAAAGCAGGTCAAAGGGGGCTTTTCTCCCAACAGAGTCCTTCCCTACCAGGTGGGTCCCAGCAATCTCCTGTGCTGTATGTTGAAGGGTGGAGGACACACCTGGTAATGCTCAGTGGCTACTGCTGGCTCTGCACTCAGGGATCACTCCTGGCAGTGTTTGGGGGCCATATTACGGGATTCAAGGAGTCGAACCCAAGGCTTGTGCAAGGCAAGTACCTTCCCCACCGTACTATCATTGCAACCCAACACACGCCATATTAAGGGCCCACACCGCAGCTCCTGATGTAGATCTGTTTACAGATCTGTTTACAGATCTACTCAACAAATTACATACTACTCACAGTTGATTCTTCCTATCATTCTGTGAGAATAGGCAGAGAATAAAGAGAGTAACCTTCTGCCTAATTCCTCAGGATCTTCCAGGAGGGAGTAACTACAAAGACTCACCCCCCAGCACAGCAAGAACACTAGAAAAACAATGGGGAAAACACACAGAAGTCCACCAGGGGGTATGGTGCCACCAGCAGGTCAACCTGGACCTGCAGGGTGCACATCCTGCAGGGTATATGCCAATAGTTTATTTCTCTGGAAAAGATGGAAACAAGGGCCATGACCCAGAAACACACAAAAGAATATCCAGGGGGTATGGTGCCACCAACAGATCAACCTGTGCCTGAGGGGCAAGTGCATCAGCAGCCTGATGGTGCCTTTAGGCTTCCTGACATTCAAAATTGCTGCTGTAGCTGTTAGAAAAGATGAAGTCATGAAATTTACATACAAGTGGTACTACATGGAAAGTATCATGCTAAGTGAAATGAGTCAGAGAGGGACAGACATAGAAAAATTGCACTCATCTGGGGACTATAAAGTAACAGATTGGGAGACTAACACTCAAGGATAGCCAAGATAAGTACCAGGAGATTCACTCCATGGCTCGGAAGCCAGCCACACATGCTGTGGGAGAAGGTAGCTCAGATAGAGAAGGGGGTACCAAATAAAGGGTGTTGGGAGGATCCTCCCTGGATGAGAGATACATGCTGAAAATAGACTATAGACCAAACATGATTGCCACTCAATGCCTCTTTTGTTTTTTGGGGTTTTTTTTTTTGGTTTTGTTTTTTGTTTTGTTTTGTTTTGTTTTTTGCTTTTTGGGTCACACCCAGAAATGCTCAGGGGTTATTCCTGGATCTGCACTCAGGAATTACTCCTGGCAGTGCTTGGGGGACCATATGGGATGTCGGGGATCAAACCCAGGATCTGGTGCCCGGGTTTGAATTGAATTGAATTGAATACATTCCACTGAGTCGTCCCCTAAAGTCCATTTCTGATCCTTTCATTTGGACTCAGGAATTTGGGGAAGCTCAACTTAATGCAAAAATGGTTAAATTTACAAAGACCGATATTAGTCTCCAGGTTCACACCCCACTGACACCCCACTGCTGTGATATCCCTGTTGAGTGGGAAGACATTTTAAGTTCAAAGAGACAAAAGGGAATTTTATGAAGAGACAGAAGGAAACAAAACCAATTACTACAACTGTGTGATGCAGCTTGGCACACACATGCAAAGAGAGATGAAGGCATAGGCCTGGGCCCTTCGAGTAGTGCAGGAATATTCAACCAGAGCCTCACGGAGGGGGAGGGCCACCCTGCAGGCCCCGCCCACTGCC